TTCTAAAGCATATTATACAGCATATTCCAATGTCTTTCACATATTGATTGATTAAAAGGGAAAGTGTCAAAGTTTTTGGGATAACCAAAAAGGAAAGTAGGTAAAGTTATAAGGGACGGAGGAAGTAATATAAGGGTATAGATGGTAGACAGTGATAGAGTGATATTATTTGAAAAGAATAACTTTTTCGTGTTAGCGCGATACACTTGAGGAGTGAATGTGAATATGGAACCGTCTCTGCTTTCATTAATTCATTTTGTAATCCTTTCTCTAGTACCTAGGGGTGGGCAAACGGGTCTTGGAACCGCGGTCCGGTCCGGGTAATGGCGGTTCGGGTCCAAAACGGGTCGGTTCCATTTTTTGTTGTCATAAAACGGTCCGGGTAGGGTCGGGTAATTTTTTTTAAGGAACTGGACCGGTTCCAAAATTAAAAAATAACGGGTACCCGGCCCGGCCCGTTATATCTATTGTATATTAATTTATTAGTAGTTTTGTGGCAATCGGTTTTGAAATAGTTTTGTTTCCTTTGCTAGAAGTAAGATTTTAAATTGAGTTGGAGTAACATCCTTTTGTTTTCAAATTATTGATTAAATGTTTCATAAATATCTTATTACTTTTTATTGTTATTGAATTATTCCTTTCTATGGAATTTAATTATTTGTTAAAGATGATTTTGTTATATATTTTTTATTATATTGTGATTAAAATATATAAATTGTCTTTACCACCCACCATGTATGTGTCAGCTTTGGCTAGTACTGAAAATTTAATATATAAAAAAGCAATCACTTTAATATGTGATGTTAGACAACATGTTTAAATACAAATGTTAGAAAATATGTATTTTGGCTATGTTGCATATTTTTGAAATATCTTTAATTGTTTGAAACTTATATACAATAAATTATGGAGTATTGGACTTTTCGCTTGTGTTGTATGTGCACCACTATATTGTTATTTTGAAACTTGCTAATGTCCTATATTATTAATTATTGATTTTTGGAACTTCGTGAGTTTTTACTAATTTCAAGACATGAGAATAGAAACCGTAAAACCCGGACCGGACCGACCCGTTTCAAACGGGCCGGGTAATTTCCGGTTCCTATTTTGAAAATTGTAATACCCGGACCGGACCGGACCGTACAATGGAACCGGCGGTTCCATTTTATTTTGCATTACCCGCCCCGACCCGGCCCGTGCCCAGCCCTACTAGTACCTACTCATATCTTACTACGTACTATTACCTCCGTTTCATTTTATGTGTCTCCTTTGATTTTAGTACAATTTTTAATAAAGTGGTTGAAAAGGTAGAAATTGTGGTTGAAATTTGAGTATAGTAAAGTGAAATGTTGTGAATAGGGATGGACTCGGGCCGGGCCAACTGGCGCGGAACCGGACCAGTCCGCTTCTGTGCGGGCCCGGCCCGGTGAACCGGTCAGTGCCTGGTTCGGGGCACCCGGCCCGGTGGGTTTCGGTTCCGGGCTCGGGCCCTCCATTTGGTGAAACGGCCCGGCCGGTTCGGGCCCGGTCCGGGCCGAATTTAATTTTTTTTTCCTGTTTTTTTTTTAAGTTTTTGGGTTGGGCTGGGTATTTTGGGCCATTTGAGGTGGTTTGGGGTGGTTTGGGGGTGAGGGGGATGAGTTGGGGGTTAAATAGGAGAAGCCAAAAAAAAATACAAACCGGGTGGCCCGGCCCGGCCCGGAACCGGTGGCTACCGGTTCGGGCTCGGGCCCAACAAAACAGAACCGCGAACCGGCCGGGCCCGAACCGGAACTGGTCCACTCCTAGTTGTGAACCATATGTTTTTTTCCAAAAGGGAAATGTGACACTTATTTTGGGACAACCTAAAAAGGAAAGTAAGACATGTAAAATGGGATGGAAGGAGTATATTACTATGGACACGGGAAAACGTCACTCAATTAAAATATAGCACACAGAAACTAGGGTGTAATTATAAATATGAACAATATAAGGATGGGAAAATGGAAACTAATAATCCAACCTTTAAGCGGTCTTCTTTTAATAATCCCACCTTTTGATTATTCATGAATAATCCAACTTTTGTACCACATCTTCATTGACTGGTCTTTGACCGGTTGATGACCTGCTATTCCAAGCTATTTTCTTATCTTTGCAAATCATTATACCATAAATTTCATCTTTCACAAAGATAATATTTTGCAAAGATAATAAAATAGCTTGGAATAGCAGGTCATCAACCGATCAGGGACCAGTGAATGAAGATGAGGTGCAAACGTTGGATTATTCATGAATAACCAAAAGGTTGGATTATTATAAGAAAACCGCTAAAAGGTTGGATTATTAGTTTCCATTTTCCCTATAAGGATTTACTCTGTATTTGATAACACATGCAAATATACCAGGATCCTTTATTCCTTTTATCATAAAAATAATTTATTTTGGAAATATTACCACTAAACGTTTTTTACAGTATTGAAAGAGACAAATTGGAAAATTTCCAGATGATCCTAGTGAGTGTCACTGTGTCAATGTATTAGACAACGTTTTATTTAGCTTTAGGGAAAATAATGATTGGCCCCTTAAGGTTTGGTCATAATTATAAAATCAACCTTGTATTTTTAGATTATTACACCCTGAGCTTTTATTATAGATGGAATCTCCCCCTTTCGTTAACTTTAAGTTAATTTGATAGTTAATTGTTGCAGGAATTTCCCAAAATGACCTCTATTAAAATAAACTACGGAGTATAAAACAAGACCTTCTCAGGTTTATTCCAAATAGTATTCGAACAGTGAATTACGGGTTTCGTTTCCCATCCATCACTGCTGCGGACTTAGTTTCTATGCTTTTCTCCCTTTTAGCTTTTTTTTTTTGCTCCAACTTCCCAGACTCATTCATACATTAAAAGAAAATTGAAGAACCTTAGTTGACAGGATGCATATTTGTTGAGGCGTGCAATCGTCTGGGAGTTGATTTTGGCATGCATTCAACCCCACAACCCCCACTTAGTCTAGCTGATAAAAATAAACTTCAAAACTACATCAATATTCTTTATCTTAGTTGGGCTAGTGGAGACATCATTGATCTGAGAACTAGAAAGCAGACTGTTTGGCTTCTAGTGCAACTCAAAATTCAATTCAGGGAAGTTGATTTTCAAACCACGGTTCTATTGTGGGGCTTAGAGCCTACTCTTAAACCAAGTGAGTTGTGAAGAGTTGAAGCGACAAATATATACAAAGTACGTAGTATTAGAAAAAGTACGTAGATGAGTGTATTGAACAAGTAATCCCTAATTAAGGGTATATTGGTCAAAACAGTGTCTATTCAATGCCGTTTGTTATTGAGTCGTTTATTTTCTTAGTAGGATTTTGATGGAAGGGGGAGACAATAAATAGAATCAGAGTTCAAGGGGCATATAGTTGGAATCTAAAATTACAAGGTTGTAATAATAATTATGATCAAAGCAGAAGGGATTAATCATAGATTTCCCTTAGCTTTAAAATAGTTAATGGGGGAGTAGAGAACAATGAAAGATTGAGATTTTAATGGACCAGAGATTTAAGTCTCAATGGAGTATATAAGGTAGTGGGTTGAATGGTGGACCAATTGTGAAGGAAGTCCTAGTCCTACTCCGTGTACCCTACACTTTCAATACACTAGTCTATATATATAAATAATTTGTCTAAAAGTGAACAAATTGTCTTTGCATATAAATAATTTTTAGACGAATTATCTATGTACATAAACAAGTGTATAAAAAGTGCACAAACGGAATTTTTGTTATGAAGGCTAGTGATTTTAAAGGCAATTGCCTGAGTGGCATGTAAATTTAGCGTTTGTGCAACTACACTCGTCTACATACGATAATAATTTGTCTACAAATGGACAAATTGTCTGTGTACATACATATTTTTAGACAAATTATTTGTGTACATAAACAAATGTACAAAAAATATGCAATAAAAGTGTACAAGTAGAATTCATGTCAGTGAACTTTTAAGACAATTATTTGTGTGACATGTAAAATTAGCGTGTACACGCCTAAATGAGTACCTGAAGCACAACTCGAAATATTTACTCACAATCATCGATAAAGATATCATAATATTCCCATCAAATTTCCACATTTAGAAAGTTTAGGATATTAAAATGAGAGAGAAGGGTTGTTTTTTCAAAATCTTGGAGAAAATTTGAATAATACCAAAAAAAGAAAATTGAAAGATAAAACATTTAGAGTTATATAAATATACTGAAAAATTTGAAATATTTGTAATGTCAGTTTTTTTACTAGTCTAATACTACCTTCATCCTACTATGTTTGAGACAATTTGGTTTACAATTCTTGATCGATGATAAAGCAAACAGATCCTTGTACATACTCAAATTATTTTTAGGATTTTTTTATACATATTCAGAAACTACATTGAAAACTTTACAAAGTCGCAAAAAACTGAATCAAATTTGATAAAAATTTGATATATAAAATAAGAGATTAAAGTGATTTGTGTTAACCCAGTGAATAGTGCATGACATAATTGTGTGATGTCATAGACAATTATGTTGTTGTTATAATTGTGTTATTTATACTCCGGGAAAAGGGGCAAATAAGGCCACGTACTAACAAAAAAAGGTCAAATAAGGCCTTATTTATGAGGTTTTGCCCGGCCTTCGCCGTTTGGGGTAGTTCTCGGTGGAATTTTTTGATAAATTTTTTTGAGCATCTTATTCATCAAGTCTAGTTTACTCATACCAAATTTTAGCTAAAACTTCAATCGGTAAGGCACTCAAATGAATTATTGAAGATAACTGCGCTTTTAACTGCGCAGTTATCTTCAATAATTCATTTGAGTGCCTTCCCGATTGAAGTTTTAGCTGAAATTTGGTATGAGTAAATTAGACTTACTTAATAAGATTCTAAAAAAAATTCATCAAAAAATTCCCCCGGGAACTACCCCAAATGGCGACGGCCCTTTTCTCTTTATACTCCTTAGTTGTTTTAATTGTGTTATTGATATCCATTTATTTGCACATTGATTTTCGCTGAAATTCACCTCTATCTGTTTCGTCCTCAGGAGTAGTCAGGACTCAGGAGACTCTGAGACTGACTATTCTGATTCAGAAAAGCTTATTTTAGGGCGCGCATTATGAATTTGCCGGTGCCTCTCTTCGGGTATCCTGCGCTTCATTTTAGATTTTCCCTCTTCCAAGCAAACCCTAATTTTGCAATTTTTAGCGAAAATGCGCTTTTTATTCTTTGAATGAGAACAACCGAAAATGGCTTCGATTTGGACCCTTCAGCTTCATACTGTTTCTTTTCAGGTAACAATCGGTTCAAAGCTGAGATTGTGGCTTATATGTACTTGATTGATGCTTCAGATTAATATTGATCCGTTTTGAATATCCATTGCAGCATCTAATTTCGCCAAGCCTAATAGAACCCAGAGCTAGATTGTGGCTGGACCGGAGCTACAAAAGATTGAATAGAAACCACACTTTTAAAAAGGTTGAGTTAAGAGCTGCACGCGATCCAGTGAGTAGTGATATTGGCAAGCAACTCCGGGAGGAAAGCAACCTAGTCGAATCCAAGAATGAGAATTTACTAAATCCAACAATTATGGTTACTAAATTGCAAGTGACTGAATCCTCTTTCCCTCCTATTGTGTCCTTGGTAAATAGTTAAATATCCTGTTCGTTCTTTTATAAAGAGTTAAAGACTATATCTTTGGTGCTTGCTAGGTTTGTGTTTCTTGTTTTACTTTGAATCACAGTGTTATTAGTTCAGCTCAAGTAGCAGCTTAGTTTGAGCGGCTATTCGGCTAAACAAATGATTTATTTGTGAGGCAATGTTATTAGAATTGAATCAACTTTTTCAAGGAAGTACATTCTACTCTCTGGCTAGAGATCACTCAACATGTTTTGTTTGGATGAGGAGATCACTCAACATTAGACCTCAATATTATAATTTGACTAATCCATAACTGACTTTCTGCTGGATGCCATTTGGCACCATGGGACAGCTATCCAATGCTTGTTGCTCCATTAAAACAATTAGCTATTGGTTGTTTTGATATGAAAATAATAATGAGGCCTTAGCCTTTGTTTGGTTTAGGAAAGAAATAGTGAAGAGAGAAACGTGTGAGAAAGAAACCAGTAAGAGGAAAACAGGGTTAATTACTTGTTTTTTGTATTCTTCGGTATGGGAAAAGTACCAATAAATATAAGAGACGTGATATCATAAAATACTGCAGCACCCTTAAAACCTAAAAAGACTTAAACTGTTAGGTGCTTTTGAATCGACATGAATTGGTACAAATGTCAAAACGTAGTAGTGAACTTCAGTACTTCACGATCTCCATTCCTTTGCAAATGTGAGAGAAGCTATGTAGCACCAATACAGAAACGCGGAAACAGGTAAGGGGATTTGATTAAAAAAAAATATAGGATATGAGTATGGGGGTTTATTTATAAATATAAAAAATTACAGGGATGTATATATAAATATAAATATTACAATAACTTATTTGAAAATATATACATGTATATTTTCTGCCCATTCCATGGCATTAAACCATTTCGATTTTTGAATTATGAAGAGTTGAAATAAGGTCATACTCTCGTGCGTATAATCTCAAATACACCTACATCTTAAATTATACTATCCTCCGCTTCTTTTTAATCGCAACATGTTGAATTTTACACTATTCACATGCTCTACTTTGACTACATTTTACGCTATTATTTTATGAAAATATTTTTTTTAAAAATATATTGTTCAATTCATCTCATTCCAAATTTTCAAAATATAATTTCTAATTTTCGTTTACTAATAGAGATTAAGAAATAATTACGGTCAAAGACATGCGTTGGCAAATGTGAAATGTTGATCGTTGCAACTAAAAAAGAATGGAGGAAGTAGTATCTAATCCCAAAATAGAAACAAGTCAAACAACTATAATTTGAAAATAAAACTACATATACTCAAAGTTTTTAGATAGAAAATAGTAAAATACATTATAAAAAGGGGTTAGAAGTTCTAAAAAATATAATATGCATATCTGGTTTGTATTCTGGAACTTCTAGAAAAATTCAGATAGGATCTCAAATGTATGGTCGGGTATCCTGGAGTATAGTACTCTAATGAAGTATCCGTTCTACATAGGAGAGAACCAATTTCTTTGTGGGTCCCATGGATATTCCTTTTTTCTTCGCTGTACTGATTGGGCATCATCCCAACTTTCTTCATTTGAATATTATTCCTTTGCAAATGAAAGACAACTAAACCACAGCTTGGCATAGGTTTTGCGTTGATGCATACTAGATACCACTAATAGGGTTATCTGATTAATTGAGCATAAAAAGATCCTGATGTTACATTATCTTTTTATACTCATTTCAGTCATATTTATATTATGCCTTTGCAGATGAAAAAACATCCAGGTGCTGGTTTTGCAATTGGTCTATTTTTCATAGCAACAAGCCTTATTATTGCTGTGAGAAATCATAGGATTAGCAAACCACGAAATGTCACCCCTGGCACGGTGTCTGATCTTGTTAGGCGTGGTCAGTTGAGATCTGATAGAAGAGGCATGTATGGATCAAAACCTTTTTATCTCTTTTGTGTAATTAGTATGTTTTGTACTTCAGTTAAGTATTTATCAGTGATGTTATTTGGCGTGTAGCAGTTGTACTGTATTTGTGATATTAATTTGCAATTCTCAAATGGCTATTTATACAATCTTCTCTCATATTAAGACCTAATTTTAGTCTATGATCCAACGACTCTAATCAGTGGTAACTTTGAATTCACCCCCTTTTCATTCCTCAATTCGTTGTCCAAAATTGCAGCAGTAGTCCTCTGAAGTATGAAGACCCTTTCAATAACCCAATGGTAAAGATCAGTAAGAACAATTCAACTGTTGAGATGTGTGGAAAAGTATACCGATTAGTGCCAGTGACTCTTACAAGGGAGCAACAGGCTATACATCAGAAGAGGAGGTCACGTGCCTATCAATGGAGGAGGCCATCATTGTTTCTTAGAGAAGGTGACTCAATACCTCCTGATGTAGACCCTGATACTATCAGGTGGATTCCAACAAATCACCCTTTTGCAACCACAGAAAGTGATATTGATGAAGACCTGGCTCAAAATAATGTTTATCAAAAGCATGGTGTTCCATTTCGGATCCAGGCAGAGCATGAAGCTCTACAGAAAAAGCTTGAGGCGCTTCAGCATGTAAGTGCATGCTAATATGTGAATTATGAACTATGAAGTAATAGTAGGTGTATTTTTTATTGAAGTAAAAGAAAAGTTTATCTGAATAATGGAAGTTAGTCATTACAGAGCATCATTTAACACAGCGTGCCCCAAAATACAAGTTGCCTCACATAAGTTGTGACTAAAAGTTCGGTTTTAGTGCAGAAATCAGGACAGAAACGGCTAGTTACCAAATCACAGATATAATGATATTGTTTCCCAGCATCACTTTACATCAACTACTCCCTGTGTTACCAAATCTTTGTCTTGTGGACATGTTGGTAGAAACTGCTCAATGTCCTAATCGGCTCTTGACTAGCTCCTAGTTTACGTTGAGTCGGCGCCTTACCCTTGCAGAATTCATAAATTTAAAATATATTTCATGATATATTACTCCGTATTATACTTTGTTTCTAGTATTTTTCACACAAAAAATTGAATTACTGAAAAAGTGGAGCATTTACAGAAGGAAATGATAGCTTAAAGTGCTTGGGAGCATCTGAAAGCATCTAGCGAGCTGGTGACTAGGCCAAAGGGGCCGTCTAGGCTATCTTTTATAACACTGCTTTTGAAAGAAAAAAATGTACTGAAATACCTGCTAAATGAAAGGAGCACTACTATATATTTTTTCAATATGTGTTTTTTTAAATTTAAAACATCAATAGTTTGTACAGGTCCATTATATCCGTTTGGGGATATATTCTATAGAATTTCGTAATACTTCTTGTTTACATTTCCCTGCTGAAGCCTCAAAAGAGAGATTTTTGGGAACCTAAGGCTAAAGACTAAGGAGTAATATTTAGTTACTTATTGTTTCATATAAGCTAATAGGTGCTTATGAATATTTACTCTTAGAAACTAATAAACCCAGCATTGTTCATCATGACTAATCTAAAAAATATATAATCCAGATTTTGCCATTTCATGTGAAAAATGGGTTCTCACTTTCTCTAATATATGACCCCACATATTAGCATTGTTTTTTAACAAACAGCATTTGTGCATTAATAATTTTTACTTGCATAATTGACGCTGTAAGAAAAGCTATGGGATTATGAGCAATTAAAAATATTGGTACTGACTACTAATATACGAAGTATTGTATATATTGAGCAATTTCTGAATGTATATGGTTTGACAGGATCAAAATGTGAACAAACTAGTAATAGATCCTGCAAGCGCCAAAGACTTGGAGGGGCCATTTAAAACACGGCTGAAGTCGGAGGATCAAAATGAAATAACGTGAATCTAGCTATTCTGAATCAAAATCTGGCTGTGGTTTCCTCTAAAACGAAGCTGCTGAGATGAGAGATTTGGTTTGTAGCTTATGGCCTTATGGGTAAAACCTTGTGTATGGAACTATGAATTAATGTCAATTAGAGGTGGTTTATCCCATTGTTGAACTTTTGTTATTTCACAGTGAGACTGAGCACTTTGTCAATATTGGAATGGGCTGAGTAGACTTAACAGTTAACATGTAAAATTTTTGAATACAACATATTTTATAAATAAAATGAAGAAAAATTATACAGAGTACTACGTATGAAACATTGCTAAGGTGAGTTTGCTATAGTAATTTCATCCAATTCAGTCAGTAACTTTAATCTTATAAGATTTTGTGTTTGGTAACAAAAATTGTTTGTGAAGGTAGATTCAAAAATATTGGTTACTTAACGGGTTATATATATACGAAGTTACGGTAGTGCCCTTCTTTTGGGATGTTTAATACGGAGTATCTAGTCTAGCCAAGGGTATAGTGGCAATTTCATCAACTTTTAAAGGAATGGGAAAACTATCAAATAAGCCCCGTACTATATTGAAAAAGTCAATTAGGCCCTCGTACTTTACAAACACTCAATTAAGTCATTGAGTTATTAAAAAATGTTCAATTAAGCCCTTTTGGTCAGTAAGTAACCGATTTCCCGGTTAAACGGCGACGACGGCAACGATGTGCTCGAATCCCAGCAACGGCGGCTGCCGGGAAACGGGTTATATTTAACCGGGAAACCGGTTACTTACTGACCGAAAGGGCTTAATTGAATGTTTTTTAATAATTCGAAGACTTAATTGAGTGTTTGTAAAGTACGAGGGCCTAATTGACTTTTTTGGTATAGTACGGGGGCTTATTTGATAGTTTTCCCTAAAGGAATTAAAGATGTGTTAAATGTTAATCCTCCACATACCACGCCAGTAAAGGTGCTCGCTAAATTTATTGGTACTAAACTACTAATTGACCTAATTACACTAGGAAAATGCTTTCCGTAGAGTCATGCCTTTTACTTTTGAGAGAATGAAAATTATTTTTCGTATATATATACCCTAAAAAAATTGTTAGGGAGTTGCCCCCTGGGTCTCTACTACTATACGGTCCGCCCCTGGTTTGTGGGCATGATTGTTTTCTTTCCGACAATCCCACCTGTTAAATGGTACTTGGGAGGGACTAAATTGCAAAACAAAAATAGGCTTAAATACATTTTTAGTCCCTGCAAATATGACATGTTTTGTTTTAAGTCTCTGCAAAATATTTTCTTAGTTTTTCATCCCTTGTAATATGCACTATTTAGTTTTTAGTCCATCTATAATTCTGAAACAACTCTACTTAGAAAAAAATTGTTGTTAATTGTATAAATCTACTATAAATATTTATATTTGTCCTTTAATATTTTTTTTAGCCTAATATGAGGGTTAAAATAATGTTAAATTAATTATTCACATTTTAAAAACATATATTAAAAGCCTTCTAAAAAAAAATAAAATACTTTTTGAATAACATGACAAAAGATTAGAGAAAATCTGTTAGTCGGGATTATTTTGAAGTCAAGCGGATGTTGTTATCATCGGTGATGGACTAAAATGAAAACTAACATAAATTCCAGGGACGAAAAACAAAAAAAAATGTAATTTTGCAGGGATGCAAAACAAAATGTACTATATTTGCAGGGACTAAAAACATACTTAAGCCACAAAAACATGACGTTGCACATTCTTGTATTCCGATTGGTTTAGAAAAGATGGGTACCAAAACCTTTCTAATTTGTGTTGGGTACCAAAATATGACGTTGCACATATTTAATCCATAAAAGAACCCTTTCAAAATAGACCAAGCCGGAACTTGTTTAATAGTTAAGCACCTTATCCACCTCCCCTCTCCCTCTTGAATTTCCCTCTTCAAAACCTTATGCAACAATTTCCTATCTACTATCATTTGAAAATATTTAGAAAGATGTCTAGTTGTCTACGACCGGAAAAAATTCCTGACTCCCGTCTTTGGCTCTCTTATTTCGAAAGAAGATGAAGACAAGGAGGATTATGAAGGAGCCAGTTTTTAGAATTCGAATTTCCACATTGAATTGTGGAGAAAAAAAAATCATGAATCAGGCATAAAATGATGTAGAAGGTGAAAATACTAGTCACGGGTTGACACTTGACACTGTCACACTGACCTGATCTGGTACAATTCTAGTACTCCGTATAATTTTTTCAAAGTGTCCAAATTGATGAATTTTAATAAAAAAATGGTTAACTAGTTTCAAATTAAAGTCACGTACATTTGCCACTTCTAGGTCTCATTCTAAACGTCCACATTCAAAATGGTACCTTAACTATTGATTATATTGCATTTTGGTACTTTAACTTTTTAATGGATCAAAATGATACCTTAACTATACGTAAATGTTTCAAATTGAGATTTTATTCAAAATTTTGACCAAATATATCCTTCTAGATGATCAAAATTTCATGTGTAGAGTCACCCTATATTGATCGTATAGACAAAAATAAGGTGAAGTAGATTTTACCTTATTCTGGCCGCCACATGTGATTTTTTGGTCGAAATTTTGAATAAAATGTCAATTCGAAACATTTATGTATAGTTAAGGTATCGTTTTGATTCATTTAAAAGTTAAAGTATCAAAATGCAATATTATCAATAGTTAAGCCGTTAAAGTATCGTTTTGATTCATTTAAGAATTTCGGTACCAAAATGCAACATTACCAATAGTTAAGGTACCATTTATGCATTTGACCCGTCAACATTCACTTTTTAAAGAAAACGAATCACAACATAACTCTCTAATACTACCCATGTGTAAACTTTTACACTATGAAGACGAACCACCCAAGTTTCCATGAAGAACTAGGGCCTTATCCAACCTTGCAACAAAATTACTAGTTTAAAATATAGTACTACTAGGATTAAAATGTAAAGGGCAGTATATGTCTACTCTTTCTGCCTTCAACAGAACTCTTTAATATTTAATTTTATATAGGCTGTGTTTGGAAAATGGCTTATCAGCCAAGTTTCAGCTTCTTTGACCAAAATTGGATTCTTTGACTAATAAAAAAGCCAATAATAACGTTTGGCAATTGGATGCTTCCCTTGGCTGGTGAAGCTCAAAAAGCCGAAAATGGAAAAGCTGGGGAGGGCAGCGTTTTCATGTAGCTGAGCCCTTGTACTCGTTTATACCCTTAATTTTTATTTTCATCAATCAACTAATTTTCTCTTCACTGATAAATCAAGTTCTTTATTATCAACCATGGTCACTATTTCCTTAGGCAAATTACTGCAGTCGGCAAACCCATGGCAACGCACCAACAATTAGAAAAAGTTCCAGATCCCGCTTCTATTCAGCATATCTGCCTATTGTTGGGTTTTCTTCTTCAGGAGGAGGATAGCAAAGCAAATCAAGGAAAATATGAATAAGGATATGCCAACGGAAGAAGAGACCGCTCCCTTCAATGTTTTCGCATCCATAAAAAATTAAAAGAATTGGGAAAAAACAAAAGAAAAAGAGTAAGATCGAAAGGGGAGGAGAATTGGAAGGGGAGAAAAGCAAAAGGGGGAAATAAAGCTATTTTTTATTTCGTATTATTCAAATTAAATTAAAATGTTTATTTTAATTTAAATTATATTTCATGTAGTTTTATTTATCAATTTCTAAATTTTAAAGATTTTTACTTTGTTAGTAAATGTATGTAATATTGTTTTTATAAGCAATACTTAAAAATCAAATAAAATACTAATGTCCTTATATGTCTTTTTACTCCCAAACAACTATTTTTAAACAACTAATTTACCAAACACGTACCGGCAACAAGCTAACACAATCAGCCAACTAAAACAGCTGGCACAACCAGCTATCGTCAATCAGCTGTTATAACCAGCTAACAGCTAACAGCCGATTGCCAAACAAGGCCATACTCTATCAAACTATTATCATATTCAAATACAAAAACGGTTTTACGTACAGGATATGTCAATATGGCTGTATGATAAACGGTTTAATTTTTTCATGATAAAGTGTTTGACACGTGACCTTATTACATTTTATCTTGAACACGTGACCTTATTACATTTTATCATAAACAAACCTATGAACAAATTAATAGAGTATTATTCAACTCGATTTGAAGTGGAAGGAGATCCTTATTACCTAGGCGGCTAGGCACATATTAGGCTATTAGCCGGGAACTTAAGTAGGGGCGCTTTCCTAGCCTCCATTACCCCCTAGGTCCTCCACTAAATAAGTGATAAGTGAATAGCATAATTAGTGTTCATTAAGTGCATTTATGAACAAACTCGATAAACCAGAAGATGTCATTTGAAAATACTCATTTCAACTTTTTTAAAGCCAAAAGCTGAAAAACACTTTTTTTAATCTTTAACAAACACCGTCAAGTACCTTGTGGCCTGGTCTGATGACATCACTGTGAAACTTCCAAAGAGGGGGTCACATGTTCGAATCACATCCCAATTCAAGGATGTTGGCCTTGATATACAATAATATGTTAGAAAGATTTGACCAAAAAAATCTTTAGCAAACACTCATTGCAAGTAATTCCTTAAGAGAAAATGAGAAGAAAATTTTGAGACCTCCCACAAAAAAGTGAGTCATAAATAATTGAACAGATGGAGTATATTTGATTTTGATATACTCCGTATAAATTATTAATTAAGTTTGATTTTAATGTTTTGATGTGGGAAGTTTTGGTCATTTATCCATTGATAGTTTCCAAGGACATGTTCATTTGTACAAGTGTGTTTTATTCACGGTTTGAGATTTAAAATAAGTTTCTTCGTGAAAATTAAAAAATTTAACCTGAACAGAATATTGAATTCTATTTTTTTTATTGAATTCTATTTGGCTTGGTTCCATTAGTGCTTGCTCTTAAGTAAACAAATCATCTGAAAGAGGTATAGTAAAAAGGGCTGCCGGTGCATATTTGTGTCTCTGCAAGGGTATAAAAGGAGCAAATATCCCATTATCATCTTGGCTAAAAATGGTTCTGTTACCACCCTAATCTTAGCAATTCAGCCATATTAAGTATAAACCATTATTACTAAACAAGTTCTAACAAGGTTTAATTTCTCAAGCAGCTAACTTCACAAACTTAGCTAAATGCCCATATTCCCATCATCTACATACTATTCAGATAATTGGAGCTGAGAAGGACCCCTCCCTCTTCATATTTTGTACTCTAGCTCACACTTATATTGGAGCAAAGGCCACCCATTCACAGGGAAAGCCTACAGC